AGATTTTTGAAATTGTCGAGAGAATAGTACGTTTAGAGATTAATTTTGGCTCATCAAGATTCAACGTAAATCTAAATTGATCAATGGATGGATGCCATGACAACCCTTGGGTATGTATTATAGAGGATTCTTCTATTTGAATTGATGCCTTATCAAGTCGTAGATCGACAGGAATAGAACTGAGAATGTCTGGCTCATTGCTGACCCATTTCTTTAACGGGAAACCGCCCGCCATGCAGAGATTATTTACTTACTCAACGAACCTACGAGCTTTCTGTATCGGATGGAGATTCTTTCTCAGTACTTATATCTTCCCCCTTACTCGTCTCAGACGAATTAACTTGATGAATAGAAGTGTGGTGTTTCCGGCCACACTTTTGACAACGTTTGGTTACTCGACAATTCGAAACTCGGTGCGTTCCCAAGCAATTATAACAAAGTTTATGTTTTGAGACAATAGCTAATTTTTGTTGTATCGTTTTTGAAGTGTATCTAGGACAAAAAGAGATATAATGCTTTTCTTTGCATAAAATACAAAGTGACTTTTGATTACCGTTTACTTTACTTTGATGGTGAACTTGAACCGAATTTGGTTTAGTTGGTTGCAATGACCTTTTCTGCTGAGACCTTTCAAAAGACTGTAAAGATGACATTCGTGAGAATAAAAATTCCTTGAACTGTTTCCATGTAGGAGGCTTTCTTGTTGAGCCTAAATGAGATTCCCATAATTTATTGGTTTCGGCATCTAACTTTTGCGCACTAATTAATATTATGAAATCTTCACATTGTTCAGCAGGTCGTTCTAACGTTTCGAGTGTACGATAAAGTTGTGTAATATTTGAATAAAGTTGTTGAAGTTCAGCAGCGGATTCCTTTGTCATTCGTTTAAGATTGAGAAAGGATTGAATAGTGGTATTGACTAATAGTCTCGTATTTTCAAAAAATTCGGTGAGTGAATCCCAAGTCTGTTTGAAATTCTCAGCAGTCAAAGCTGTATGCTTAACTAAATCGAATGCTGACCCCGAGAGATGAGTTTTCAAGTATTGTAATTTTTCAACCTCAGATAACGAGGTACTAGCACTTATTAATGAAGCGAAAAGATTTTTAAATGGAAGCCATTTTTCAGGATCTCCGTCGAAAGTTGGAATTTTTATAAATGGCAACTTAGCACTTGGAATTTGAGCGATTGAAGTACTAGGAAGAGCGGTTGATTGATTAGAAACTGTTTCAGTCGTGCAACTCTGACCACCATCTAAGAGCGAAGTAAATTTCTCGAGTGAATCAAGATAGTCCTCCTTTGTTCTTTCATAAATCCTATCGATAAAGTAAACGTGATTATTAATTTCATCTTGTTCTTGATCTGCAAGTTCCGGTATTGAACTGTTAACTAAATTGTGAATAAGAGAAAACTGACCCCATACTTCCTTAAGATCCGAAAGTCGCGTTTGAACGCGTGTATTTGTAACAGTGTCTATTCCATTTTTTGTCAATTTGTCGTATGATTCTTCAATTTCGCGACTGAGCGCTAAAAGCTGCTCAATTTTATTGACTATGTGCTGGAATCTCATCTTGAATGAATACGAAAAATCTTTTAAATTGAACGAATTGAAAGAAATATCGGTTCCATGAACAAAAACTTTACAATATCTTTTGTTTACTCTCGTATTCTCCTTCCCACCATAACTGTATATCCGAATAAATTTAATTCTTCTCAGACTATTTCTAAGACTGATTCTTGCTTATCCGGCTCGAAGGACCAAAAAATGTACACGCCTCGTATGTTGCGTGAGCTAAGGATGGTGGAGAAGGAGAAACGATATTCAAAATAAGAAATAGAACAATTGATTTAATGAGTGCGTAATCCAGAAAAGTTGAAAATGGGCAGAACTATATAAAGAATACCAACATTTGTTGCATAGGAGAAGGGAAACTGCCCTAAAACCTTCTCAGTATTCATAAACAAAATTGTACATAGATAATATAAAATATTTTAAAGAAAATATTCCCTTCGTTTAACAGAACCTTATTACCAATAATAGGTTAAGTCTGAGATCTCTTTACGAAATGTTTCAAATAAATTCAAGGTATAAAGTATGAACGAATATTCAATGTATTAAATATTCTGAATGATTAAATGAAATAAATGGTCTCTTCCTTTTATAGAAATTTTGCAAGGGAATATCTTCGAGGCAAACACATCAATTATAATAAATACAAAACTCATATAAAGAGGATAATACAATTAATACATGTTAAGATAACGAATATGGAATAATGAAACCAAAGATTTCTGAATACGTTAAATCTGAAAATGAGAAGTATTGTAAATAAAAGAATTCTGTAGAAACTAATTAGATAATATTATAACTTAACTGTCTGGTAGGAATTGTCCCTTTGATAAACTTTGAAACTTCTTTCTTGCAATTAGTAAATATAATTATTCCATATACGTTGATAAATGCAGTGAATAATTGAAGCATATATCCTTAGAATTAATCAAAAGAGATACGGAAAGATCGCAACAATAATTTTACATAACGTAATTGAGCAAAAGAACTTATTCGTTCGCGTAGTTCAGAATTGTTATTAGAACGTATCGAGTAGTCGAGGTATTATTTTAAACAGTAATCATATATCGAATTAACTTCACGTTCATTATATACAGTAAACGCTAGAGAATTTTATAAAGTAAACGAAATATAAGTCTTAATATATGAAACACAAGGAATATAACTTCAGGATAACTTTAATCCTTGTATGCGCATCAATGAGAAGTATTAATTGGAATTCTATTGAATTTACGTCCCGAGATAAGAATTTATCTCCTTTTCTTATTAATCAGAATTAATCGTGAGAATCCTTCTTTGAGGATAATCATAGGAAAATAACGTTATATCCTGTAACCGAATATTCGAATTAACACGTGCTCACTTGTAAAGTATCACTTTCATCAGGGAAATATCTGACGAAAGAACCGAATAGTTGATATTATAAATCCAACTGTTACCTGATTGTGGAATCTGCAGCATCCACCAATTAATCATAGATAATCCGACATTTATTTGTACGGAAAATCATCCACTGAGAGTGGGAAACTCATTCGCTGTAAGCGAGCCAAATAATCAGAATAATGGCGGCTATTTCGTCTCGCCACGTGAAAGGAACGAAGTTAATGATGGCCGCTCTTGATTTCCAATATATATATCGCTCGAAGGTCCACCGTCAAGTAAAGGCTCTTCTGAGCCCGGAATACAAGTCGTGCTTCTTTCTTCATTTACATGTTAGAACACGTTCTTCGTAATTCGAATGATAATTAATCTTTACGGACTCGTGTAAGAACTCACGGCACCGAAATACATTACAATATGCGCGATTGATACAACACAAGCATTAAAGACGATATTAGCGTTGAAAACGACACGAGCAACGACAAGGGCAATAATATACCTTGAATAATTGGTACGGTACAAGCGAGAAGTATTGAACAGAACTTGAACATGTTCTCGATAAAAGATTCTAGTGGCAGAATACCCGATACGTGACTCGAACTGTCTCACGTTTGACCGAATAGTCGAGAAAGGCCGGGATTTTCTCTCTGCACGTTTGTGCTTGCGCATCCCCTCCACTCGCCCTCTTGTCACGTGATGCTAGCATGAGCGGAACTTGGTGCGTCGCGTTGCTCGCGCGGCTGCCTGCGATAGTTACTAGGCGGAAACGACCTGCCATCTAGTATTCGTTCATGGAACCGCAAGATTATATTATTGATACAATAGATGGCTGTAGCTATATCCAAAAGTTACCGAAATCTCCGTATTTCTAACACAAATCTTCTTTTAAAATGACAAAAATTTCTAAATAATTTATACGTGGCCTGATTATACGTGATTTTCGTCGATTCCTTCTTATTGGAAGATCATAACCCTCGTATTCATTAAATAATAAAAATTTAATAATTTTATCCATGTTACACTAAAGCATGAGGGTCTCATATGTACGTTTCTCCTGCTTCAATGTATATGTACACATTGTACACTTCTCGAACTAGTATGTACAGCCAGTGTAGCAATAGAAAATAGACCCACAGTTTCAGTAACTTCCCGGTTGTTATCCTTTTATTTGTATAGAGAGTGGCACAAAATTTTTTATGCATTTTTACGCATTTTGTGTATTAAAGACATTCACAATGAAGCATCGTATTTCAACATCGTTTTGAACTAAATAACGAATAATTAAGAATGATTTTCAATTTGCTACGCTTGAAAACACACTTTGATTTATAAGGCAACTTTGCTAAGTCGCTTGCAATTTAAAAGCTAGACTAAACAATTACTATACACTTCGCTAATACTAGATTGCCCTACCTCCCACAATCCGTAGAAACATTGAGCTAAAGTAATGTCGTGCACTATAACGTCAAACTCGACAGTTTTAACCATTTCCAAGAGTTCTCTCGCCCCTTTAGTTCTTATCACTGTCTGACATCCGCCTATGCCCCACTGATACTGAAACTTTATCATATAAAGTACACTGTACTGTTCCCATTCAGCTAAATTATAATCCTCAGATTGTTCAATAGTTTCCATTACACCATCGAAAACCTGAAAATAATAAGTACTCTTCGCTTTACAGGAGAGGACATACGAAAATGCGTTAAATTATCTCAAAAAACAGTTATATATTAATTTTATATGTGTAATAAAATAAAAAACAATATTTTAAGATAAGAAAGTTATATTTTTTTTATATTTATCATATATAAATTTTAAATAATCGATTTATACTACCGCTTAAAGGTATTTACCATCCCAGAAAAAATGGGAAAAAATTTTAGTTTTTTGCAGTAAATGGTTTAAAGTGCAAGAGATTAATGTTACGTATACTTATTGTTAACTTACACAAAACTAATGCTATGTTGGTCCTTACTTCCTAATTTCATGTAATTATTTTGCGTACGGAAAATCTCAAATAATAAATACATTTTCCGAGATCACCACGTTTAGAAACCAAAATCAATTGCAAAATTAATCGATAGGATGCTAAAATTCTGTATGGTTGTAATAAAAAAACGTGTTAATGAGGCGAAAATTTAAAATAATGTTATTTTCTTGTCAAATTATTGTTTAACACATTATTTAAATAACATGTAACTACGTATACAATAAAAACATATGTAGCAAATTATTAGTCTTTTCATTATAATTTTATTAATAAACTCATCTCTAATTAAATTTCTTTAAAGCGGCCAATATCTTTGAGCGGTAGTGTAACGTCTCTCAGGCGAATGTCTTCGAATCTCATAACATTTACTTACGGCGTATGTCAAATTCTGCCCGAGTATTCCTTTAATCTTAGTCTCCTGTATGCTCGCTACATGTACATGATGGCCTTTACGAAGCAATCCTTTAACCAAATGCTCCGTCCAGACATGGTGACTAGGCGACGGAAGAGTCGCTATCACTAAAATCGACATTGGTTTCGACGCTGTCACGAGATCACCCATTAAGATACAACAAACAAACAAAATGACACTACTTAACATCGTTGCGCTACTCGTGTGGTCTTTCAATCAGATTCTAGTATCGACTGAATCAAGAAAGACTGACGATGTATAGGATTCTTCGATCCCCTCCTCATTTTAAGATAACTGGTGTTTGTACTTTGCGTAACGGGCTGGCAATTATGTTGACATGTCGACTTAGCTGTACAATTATAGAAAAAGATTAAAGGAGATATAGAATCGGTAAATGTGTATAAAATGCCGAATTTCATCGATTTTATTGCCACTTAAATATGTTGTAGGGGTGGTCCTTCTGAGTAATTCTACGTGAGAAAAAAGTGGGGGGCGGTATTAGTTTAAAAGATACAACAAATTCAAGTTTGACATTAAAGTTTATAGGTATATGCTGTATTAATATGTTATTTCTTCAGTACTAAGGAAAGTAATTTACTTATATGTGTGTATAGATAGAGTACACATATCAGCAAATTGCTTCTCTTTCTTAGAACTATAATGTTACGTCATAATACATAAAAAGAGTATTAAAACTGTAAAAACTTTAATTTGCTATTTCTTCTAAACCAAGACCGTTCCTCACTTTTTTCTTGCGTATATAGAATTACACTGAAAGACTTCCCGTGACGATGAAATCGTTGAGGTTTCCTTTTATACGCATTTTTTATTATAAAATCACTAATAATATGTGTTTGTATAATGTATGTAGTACGCAGTATCTATTTACTCACTACTATCATATTGTTAAAATTAAATGAAGACATTTGCACGCAGAACAATCATCCAATCAGGGTTGATGTTGATCATTACATAATACATAATTGATTATTAAATTACAAAATACATTATTGATCATTTAATAATAAAACACCTATAATAATTGTTAATATACGTAAGTCACTGTATTAAACATGCATGTAGGCCGACAAAAAAGAACAAATTATATGTACCTAATTATATTTACAAAACAATTTTAATTATTTACCACATACAATATTACAAAATCTTGATTCTTGCAAACTGAGCGATATCGACATTATCACGATACGGTATAAAACATGTTGAAAGAGAAAGGTTATTAAAATAATTGAAAAATATTTAGTATATATTATAGATTAATGATATCTATTAAGTGAGAATAACAAAAAAAATATAAAATAAATTAATTTTAGTTACAAAAAGCGTGTGTGTCTGACATACGTGGACCTTGAAATGCGCCCCGCGGGCACGGAAAGTCTTGTCAAGTATACGCATATACGTTATGTAAACTATGACGCTGGGAACCCGGAACTGTTATGTATATTGTTTGCTTATATTAACGCGCAGTACTCGATCCATGTGTTAATGACGTCGGTTCTCAAATTCATATATAGGTTCTAAACATCTAAAATTGAAAGATCAAGCGTATTGTACATTCTAAGGAATATTCCTTTACACAATGAGAGGAATACTAAATTTCAGATAAACAAAAAGTAGGAAAATTGACATATTGCTGTCAAATAATTTATTTCTTAATTACGGACATTATTTGATGATAATAAAATAAACGATGCGGTTAACAACGATCAGAACGCGTACGTGGACGAGAAAACGGCAGCCGCTCTCATCTGGGATTTGGGAAGATTCGGTTTGCAAGTGCCCACGGAATTCGGCGGGTTGGGATTGACGAATACTCAGTACGCTCGAATCGTCGAGATTTGTGGCTATCACGATTTGGGTCTCGCTATCACTCTGGTCGCGCATCAGAGCATAAGGTACAAGGTAAAACTGTTTACGGATGTATTTTGCTTTCTGATACATTTTCGTCAATTTTCCTAATTAATATTAATTTCATTAATATGAATATACTGAGCGTTATTGTTAAAATGTAAAATCGCCGCCTATCTTTGGGAATTTGGTACATCCGAAATTGACGGAAAGTGCCGCGCTTTGCTCGAAGGTGAAAATAACAATTCGAACGTAAGCTGGAATTTTTCCAGTTAAATATAAATTTGTATAAAAATATATATGTATAATTGCAGAGCGTGGAGAGCTTTGGCAAAGTTATAGAGTCCTGTCTCATTAAATACGGACGAGGCATTGTAGATGAGCAATCCTCAACTGGATCACGCAGGCTGTTTTCGATACGTATTCAATGGCAGTTGTCCTAAGCAGGACGACTGTGTCGTTGAACAAGAATCTGCCAACGCAGAACACGAATTATTAATGACACAAACTTGGTGCGCGGAGGTATGAATATGTTATCCTTTATTCAAATCCTAGCAGAATCAATAATGGCTTTCGAGTGCATTTGCTGTAACTATTATTTATAATTTCCTAAAGCTAATGAATTAACATATAGATAGTATTTAATTTAAAAAGTATCTTTCAGATGATTGACTAGGAATAATTTAGGAATAATTGACTCGAATTTCTGTCATTATATTAATATAATATTATTTGAGCCTGCTAGCGATAATGTGAATATACAATTTATCTTGTAACTGCTAGACACGATTGTTTAATGCTTTGTTGTTACAAGCGCATCAAATCGCGCTGCATATAATCTACAGCAGGTCAGTTCGAGCAAGCAATTGGGCATCTTCAGTAAATTGAGTAAAATTTCGAAGAATGATGCGACGTCAGTGGATGCGTACAATAAAATCCGCTGGGTTTTTAAGATATGATAAATTTATCTTATGAGAGATAACTTATCCAGATCTTAAGTTTTTATCGCGCTAGATGTAAGAGATAATAGAAACTGCTTTCCCCGTGGAAGGAAAAAGCTGAATATTTCATTATTCTTTCGTACAATTCATACTTTATCTCGCAATTTCTAGAAATAAAAATATGTAAATAATAGTACAAATGTAAAGTTGACTTCGTGATGAATTGTATGTACTTTCCGTGTAAACTACGGAAGCGATCAATGCAAATGTTAAACTTAATAAGGTGTAAAGCATAAGGTGTATCTAAAGATATATATAGAAAATTATGTATTTTTAATATCTCTTGATACCTCTTTACACGAAAAACGGCGATTCCAGATGTACAGCTATACAAATAATACGATCGATCTGTGATGTTTTTTCTTTTCTTAGATGCTGTTTATTCATTTTATCCATCAGTTTCGTTGAAATAATAAAGTCGTGTTAAGTCGTCTTTTACACAATAAATTAAATGAAAGACTTTAAATGGGAGAAGTGTACCGTCATACATTTATATATCTTATTTTATACATTTAAAAATATTTTAATTTAATATTATCGTGTAGCTGCTCTCTTTTCCCACTTAAAGAAACTCCTCAGCATGGGACACGTGAAAGAAATATATCAAACAGGAAGCTACAATCAATTATAATAACTGACCGCTTGTTTTTCCTAATCGTTAAATGCACAATTTAACAATATCACAATTATGCGAATACAAAGATGCACAATTTTTCCATCGTACCTTATCAGTTCATAATGACAGTGGAAGCACACTGAATGTCCATATATATATATATAGATTTCATATCTTATTCTTTTTCAAGGTGTACAACATCCGTACATAAGATTAATGTAATGTAGAATGAAATCGAGGCAAAGAAACATGAAGCAGCGCGGCACTGTTCGCACAACGTTATCGCATTACTCAAGTTTAAGAATCAAATTACCTTTGTATATTCTCGATTTCTCGCAGTTCATTTAATTCTTACGGACTCACTCATTTTTAATTGATCGCGAATTACGATAATTCTATTCTGTGCGATGTAGCAATATGTTACAAATGTGCGATGTAACAAAATAATGAGTTACGTAAAACAAACCTATTAAATACGCGGCTTTTAGGCAATAATTCTGGCGAAGTGAAAAATTCGTTGTCTATTGGAACTAAATAAAGTTATCAGCTTTTAATTGAAAAAAATTAGTGTTATAATGATCGCACTGCGCGATTAAAATATCAGTTCAACTTAAACGCGCGACTGATAAAAAAATGTATGTATCATATTCCTAAATAAAAATTCAGAAAAAAAGATCTCGCTCTGTATAATTGTTACAAAGATAACTTAAACGGGTTTGTCGCAATCGCTTTTTCGTCTCAAAGAGCCGACAGGTGCGCGTGAAAATGGCAAATTCACTGAGTTTCAATGAGCTTTGAGATCTCACTCAATTTTCACAGTGGCAGTGGTTTGCTCGAATTCTCACGACAATGCCTCGAAAGAGACGCGCTAACTGCTAGAAGTTTTTGCTTCTCGGGGAGTTTTTTGATTCTCAAACTTGAAGCCGACTTGAACACATGAACGAGCGCTCGAATAAATCAGCAAATTTTACCTCGAATGACTTACACGTGACACGAAACTAACGCGAAAGGTAGGTAGGTAGGTAGGTCTCGATTATTCCTCTACGTGCAAAGGCGACATGTCGGACGAGGGGTGGCGGAGGCAGGGGTTTATCTACGAACGTTAATAGATATCGTAACAATGGCTGCAATTTTTTGTAACTTCTGAGAAAAATAGAACATCTGACTATCTTTTTTTTTTTCTTATACGTGTTCGTTACTCCAGGTATGTAATTTTACTCGTCGAAGGGGCAAAGAGACCGAAGAACCACCCGTAACATCCTTCTGCGGATCCATGCAGTTTACCGGTGGAATCCACATTGCTTTCTCATCGTCTCTTAAATCTAATAAGTTACCGTTGCTCGCGTAACGCTAAAAGTATGAGAAAGAAACGGTATCGAGAAACACACGCAAGAAAAAAACGTGATTATTATAGAAACTCGCTCGTCGCTTACCGTCGTTCGTATCTTGAGGCGAGATCGTCAAAATCGGGTATGTACATCGATACGATACCGCTTACAGAAACTATTCCAATCCGGTAGGCCGTCAGACTCCAGAAAAGCGATCAATGCCCCTTTCACTGATGCTCGATAAACAATCTCGGCGGTCACGCTTCGTTTTACCTGCGACGATAAAGTCCCGAGCTCTGCTCAAGAGAGACGTCACGCACTTTGTACCTACAAAAGGTTGATTCGAATGTCTCGTAAAAGCTTATGATATCTCCTCGCGTTATATCCTTAGATCGAATACGCATGCGTCACCCTGATATTCCTCAATATGAAAATAAATCTTTGTCGATCCCTCACCACCGTATATCGATACGTGACCTGCTTAAGTGCAACATACTCTTCGTATTGGTGTTGAAAAGAAGCGGAATACTGGTGCTAGCGTAAGCGTCTTCCTGTACAACGTAAAAAACGGTCGGATTTTGTATATCGAAGAACATCGGCGCGCGTTTTCTTTTCTGCTTTTTTTTCGCAAGCAAGGGTTACGACTGTTACGAGTTCGGTATCTACGAGCAAACGAATAAAATTTTTAATTACGAACGCATCTCGCCGATTCTCTTTCAGGCTGATGTTCGCAAATGTATCTCATCGCACGTCGATTCTTTCGCAAGAATACCACGCTCGACACTTAAAGTCTTACTTTCGTTGCATACATTTACTTTTATTATTTTAAGTAATCACTCATTTACATATATATATATATATATATATATATGTATATATTTACATATATCTCTATATATATGCCTGTACGAAACTGACCGCTTACATCGTAATACTAATCGCCTTATCACGGCTCAATAAATCGTAATCTCTAACATATAACGCACTCTCACACGCACATACACACACACACGCAAAAGGATCGGGTCGCGCGCGTAAGGAATAATTTTACATTATATCTTAAATATCATAATGTATATTAAGACTTTCGTAAAATCGAAGTACTATGTACGAATGTTTTTTTTTCCAGAAAAATAGCTTTATATTTGCGGTGAAAGATTAAAAATATAGATCCGCGTATTTTTAGTTGTACCCTTCTACACGTCTTCCCAACATTTTACTACTTGCATGCGCGAGAACGCGTTTCCAGTTTATGCGAAATGTTTTCAGCGAAAATCGTAGAAGAATGCAGATAAAAAGAGCGGATTTTGCGGATCTTTGTATGTACGAAAATTATATCCTTCGCAATCAACACGAACTCTACGACTTCCACTTATTAAAATAAAGAAATCATAATACTCGGATAACAAGCAAGGTGGTAAAAACGTAATGAGTTGAATGGTATGATCCTCAATGATATCTCGCAATATAATAAATTACTCTGCGCACCGCGTCGCGCCCTTTGGCCACGACTCTATATAACAATAGCAATCTATAATTATAATAACGACCGTAAAACTTTATACATAAATCTGCAATGAAGAGCGAGACGATCTTTGCAGGGTAGAATCGTTATACATTAACACATAATTCAGATATGTTGCACGTAAAAATTAGGATGACTGGAAATATCGTCTGCGAAAGGATGCAAGAACTTGTGTTGTCCGTTCGCATAGCCAGCTAGTCGCATACGAATCTCACGCGATTCGATCATCGCGATCGCAATCTCTTTCTCTTTGCAGCGCTCGTTAAACAACTCGCGACATATACAAGACGCACTCGGCGAAGAACGAAGAATATACTCGAAGTTTATATATATATAAAAAAAATTATTACAATATTTCCGTAGGCGAAAAGTTAAAAGCATTTTAATTCGAAGATACTACTTCCTCGCAACGTAGACTATTTCAACTCGTCGATTAATCGGGGATGTACTTAAGCGCAATCTGAGAAAGTTAATCTGCTGTCGATCGGGGCATTACGTAACTTACGTGGGCTCGTCGAGCCCGAATTATATGACGTCATTACCTGGAGTAACTCGCGAGAGAGACATAGAGAGAAGGAGTTAGGCGGTGATACACCTAACCCTGTGCTATAGACAGATTTTTAAATGTTTGTCCGTTCCAAGCGACGGCGATGCAGTAGTGCTGGAGTAGCTGGGTGAGGAGCTCTCGTTCGTCCAGCATCTCTATGTGCTCGATCCGACTACGATCCATTACAGGCAGTGAATCATAAACATCCACCATCGTCCACGCGCTCGTGCCCTCCCAATTGTTTATGGTAAAGCTGCAACAGTTGCAAGTTGAATTATACTTGACTCGTCGAACGTCGCCGTTCGGATATACCGAGCAAAGGATATACCTACCGCCTCTGTTGAGTCTCTAACGACTCGCAATCCTCCACGCCCGCCAATAAGCACCCACGGCTGCGGAGATTCGACAACATGACCTGGCCGAACTTGTCCTTCATGTTCACTTGTTCGTAGCTGACGAAGAGGCTGTTCGGGAACTTGCCCGCTAGCCATTTCAATAGTGACGAGGTCGCGCTAGCGTCTACGTATACTAGAACACATTCTGCGAGGAACATAGTGGGTAAATTGAAATTGACTTCGGCTTGGGCCAATTTGCTATTTAGCTCCGCTATGTGTCGCAGATCTGTACCAACCAGATGATAATTCGCGGCGTGCAGGTCTGTGGTCGAAAATCGGATTTCTCCGTCTGAAAGATCGCAGTTGCGTATGTAAACGTGAGGAAACGGGCCACGTCGCACAGATGACTATAGAAATAAGAATATCGTACGATAAAATACCTTCGGTGTTTAGCATATCGATTAATTGCTTGTGCTTCTTGATGTGATAACATTTCTTCGCGGTTATGCTGGGAAAGTCGAGCTCCATGAAGTTCGCAGGGCTATTCCCCGCCTCCCTGAGTCTCCAATAAAGAGTGTCAAAACCAGCACCCAAGTTTATGATCTGACCTTTACCGCCAGACAGCTGTGTAAAGAAAAGAAAATTCATCCTTGAAACTGGTGATATCAAGAGAACACAATAATCAATATATTTACACAACGATATAAAAGTTAGAGACAGAATCTTAACTTCTCTTGCAATAAAAATCATTTTTATTAAAAAAAAACCAATAATCAAAGGGCGTGTATCCCAACTCTCGCTTAATTTATTGCCTAATTAGAACGGAAAGATAAATTCATATAAACACAGCTGTTTATAACACCAAATAAAATATAGTTGCAAAGTACATAACAAATTAAAAAAAGACAATATTTCATTTCATGTAAAACGCTATCATTAATTTCCCCGAATAAACTAGAGCTACATTTTATTCGCCCTGCGGAAGATGATTGATTTTTCGTTTTTATGTTCCCAAGATATTCCCTCCCTCTCTCTGTCTATATATATGTATACGTGTGTGTACACGTATGTATTATTACACATACATCGCGGCGGTTTAGCGCGGCGCACGAGCCAAGCAGCTCAAAAGCGGAAAACGCAGTCGGCCGCTTTACGCCGGACGGGAATATTTTTGTCCCGCTATAACGGGCGAATTCCGCAACGCGTGCGTGCGGCCGGCGCCAGCCTCGGCAATGAAGCCACGCGCCGCGCGTTTTTCGTTGACCTATATATCGGCTGGCCGTCGCGATGGAAGCGGGGAATCTCACGGGAATTGGGACAGGGCCTCGGCCGTCGTCGGGTCAAGGTTTCCGCCACGGCACGTCCCTGCCGCCCGGATCAGCTGTATTCCCCCTCCTCCCCCTTCCGCTGCCTCCCTCGTTTTCTCTCTCTCTCTCTCTTTCTCCATCATCCCGATTGTTTCCGACATGCGTTCTAGGTTAGACCCGCCGCGAGCGGGCCAGCTGCACTTCCTGCCCCTTCCGCGTTCGTGATAAATGACCCACGCGCTCTCGGAATCTTTTATGTACGAGAATAAAACGGAAGATACAGAGTGCGGGAAATACCACCGAAAAATGAACGCGCCCCTGAGTCAGCGTGTGCACCTCGGCGAGAGGCGGGAAGAGACGCGGAGGGTGCAGAAGGTGCAGCGAGGGGACGAGCGACTTTTTCCGGAGCGTCGCGCGTTCGAACGGAACCGTTCTCCCCACGTTGGCCTCCTCGCTAACGGGGAGCCGAACCGCGAAAAGCGAGCGGAAGAGGGGAGGGAGGGAAAACCAAAATCGAAAAGGGGTACCTTCTCCCCCGGGGATGCGTGGCGGCCGCCGACGCTCTCTCACCTTGAGGAACTTGTCGACGAAGAGCTCGATGCCCTTGACTCTGGCGTAGTAGCCGCGATTGATCTCGGGCTGCTTCCTCGCGGTCTGCTTGACGAGCAGGCTGATGAACGGGTCGCACCAGTAGCCGAGCTGCACCGCGTAACGCTTGCACTCGCTCGCGTCGTCGTTGGTGGCCTGTATGGCCTCATCGTCCGCCATATCCTTGATCATCCCGCACCGGCGCCGGGTACAGTGGCGGGTTTTGCCGCGCCGCTCTCTCCCCTATCTTTCGCCCCGCTATCTCGGCTCTCTTCTCTTCGCGCGTACACCACACGACGCACCGCACGCACGACGTTTATACACTTTCGTTCCTCTCCTTCTCTATCTCCACCGCTTTCTGTCTCTCAGATGGGAACGAGCATTCTATTCACTCGCGCGAAATCCGCGCGCGGACACCCCGGGGATGATGTGCTGCGGCGCTCGAGCACGGACCGTGTCGCGTTACCTGTCACTCGCGGCGCACCACTGCGCCAGTTGCGCCACCGGCGGCCATTGCTGCTCCCCGGCGGTGCTGCACCCGGCTACACCTGCCTGCGCGCCCCCCGCCGCGCAGGTGCGGCGCGCCGCGACGGGATTCTGAATGAAAACTTTCTTTTTTAGTTTATATATTTTTCGAAATAAATTCTTTAAATTGGATGTTAATTGATATCAAAAGTTAAATCGATTAATTATTGATTTAGATATGTGGATTGACTGTTCTGACAAAAGCTGTATTTTAAGACCGACAAATAATCGGCGCGCAGTATACTGAGTTCGAAAAAGTGTATAACATTCAAATTTTAAACAGAAATGTTATCATTAAGCTATCAAAAGTTGATTAAAAATGGCATCTTCTCTAATCAATTCTTTTTATCAGTATTAAATTATATTGATTATCAATTTGATAACGTGGTAAAATATATCCTAATATATGCAAAATGGATCGTTGAAGAAGAAGACATTTTTCCTTATCCCCGAAAATGTTAATATTTATTTATCCTGCATATTGATTGCTATTTATATTTATTAAAACGTTTTATTCTTGTTGAAATAAATTAACGAAAATTTACATTTTATTTCTTCATTCCTAGTTAGAATTTACACAAGCACGCCTGAAATCACAAAAACTCAATTACCTTCTTCTTCAAAGACTATAATAAAGAAGCGTATATTCTGTGATGTCTTCTTTAGTTAAATATATCCTTAGCCAATTTTTTTCTTGAAACTTGATGTTTAAATATCCGTTTAGGTCGCGCTTCTTCTCGCGTTTTTTTACGCTTATAACAAAACTGAAACTGAAGCTATTATATATACGTATCACATTAATATAATTATACATTAATAATTTACCCGTTGACAACTTTCTAATAATAATAATGTTTCTCATTGACGACACGTGTTTTATTGACGATAAGTCTTGTTACAAATCTTACACTGCGTCTTTGGAGTATCTCCTACAACTTATTTCCTGCGAACGGATCGGCAAAGGCTTCTCTTTTCATCATTATTAAAAAGCTTTCAGTTGCGTTATGCTACGTCGCAGCGAGTTGCGTGATGGTTCTTTCGAAAGATCGATACCTCGTACTTGAGAAAGAACCGTCCTGACCTGCTTAAATCTAAATTAGAGTAAGAAATTTGTTATTTGTACATAGCATGTGGAAAAGATGAACGCCCTTTTTTTTAGAAATATCAACGAGACAGATTCAGTAAAAATACACACTGTAAAATATAATTTAATATATAATATATCTAATATATAATATATATGAGTATACAAAAAGGTGAGCCGCTCAGTTTTCTCACGTAATATCTCAGTTGCCGTTCTATTGCTTACATTGTTCTCGTATAATAAATTAGCTCATTGCTCTCTGTGTCTCTCTCTCTCCTTCTCTCGTTTCCTGATGAAATTACAATAATTGAATCCGTTAGACAAGCCGACCTGTCTTTCATCTGCCGTCTCGCTCGATCGATGCAGACAAAACACACACACACGTCACACACGTGTACACGATGCGTGTGAATAAAACATGGGCCTCTCTCTCTCCCTCGTCGGCGATCTCACAGGTCGGTGCGAGAAACGTCGGACTGCACGGCAAAGGTGACACACGATCCTGACGCCGCATTCGCGATAAAAACGTGGCTTCGCGCAACCGAATCAATCACAGCTGATAATCTCAGCTCTGGCAGATTCGTCGAAGCGAATAAACATGTATAAAATGCTCGCTCGCAATGAGACACTGAAGCTCGCGTCGCTCGGGCGAGACTCGGGCTCATTAACATTTCAGGATGCGCGAGACCCTTGGCCCCGAGCAACGTGTTGGCTCGAGGAAACGGTATAATTACACGAGTACGATATCTAAGAAGATACAGGCAGGAACAAACCATAGCGGGAGAAGCGAGTATATCGTTAATTAGAAAAAAAAAAAAAATAAACAAGACAAGTGGAGTAACGCGACTCATATGAACACGAATTATTTGTATCGTCGTCGATTAAACTCTCGGTATCGCTCGATACCCCCGCGACGAACGCGGTATCGAGGTTCAACGGCGATATAGAAACTCTTGCGAGACATATATTAAAAGTATATAAAAAAAGAAAACCATAACAGACTAGCGAGTGTGATCTCCTAACGTATCTTTTAATCCTTCCGAGACACACTCTTAGAAAAGAATTCTAGATACAATACTATTAGGATCGAAATAGGGCCAATCATATTTAGTATTGAAAGAAGAATATTTTAATCTTAAATAAAGGAATTCTTAAATTAGACTTCTAGAAAAAAGAATATTTTAATCTTAAATAGAGATATTCTTAAATCTAGAATAAAATAATCTTGATGCTATCCCTCTAATTTTCTCAGAATTATTCTAGATTCAAGAATTCCTCTATTTAAGATTAAAATATTCTTCTTTTAATACTAAATATGATTGGCCTTATTTCGATCCTAATAGTATTGTATCTAGAATTCTTTTCTGAGAGTGCAGCGTTCGGACTATGTCGCGACAATCTTCTAGAGTGTCTACTACGCTTTGCAGCTGATAAAAGATCGGGGATCTCGCGGGAAATCTTCTTATCTTAAGAAAATCGTAAAAAAAAGAGTATGCGCGAAAATACTTAGGCTTCCGGGAACGCGAAGTCTCAAAAGGATTAAAGTTCTCTTCTCGATGCTCCAGCGCGCTATTCGAGACCGTTAATTATTGTCGGCTCGGATTCGGTTACTCCTCCGTCTCGGGCTTCTTGCCGGTCGTTCCCTTCGCGTTCGTTCCGCCCTTCGTCTTCCGCTTGGGCGGAACGGGCGCGTCGACGCCGACGGCGCCGGCCGGCGCCGTAGGCGGTGGTGTCTCCGGCACGCTCGTGTCGGCCTCCAGGGTCTTCGTGCCGGTCTTCTTCGTCGTCTTCACGGTCTTCTTCGTCTTGCTCTGCGAGCCGTCCGCGGCGGTGACCTCCGTCACGGCTGAGGGCGCCGCCTCGTCGGGCTTCGCCTTCGGTTTCTTCGTCACCTTCTTCACCACCTTCTTCGCCTTCTTGTCCGCGCCCTCCCCGCCGTCGGCGCCGTCCGTCGAGTCGGACTTCTTCAGGCTCTTCTTCGCGTCCGCCTCCTGCGCGCTCTCCGCGGACGGACTGGTCGGCGGGGTGGCCTCAGTCACTGTCGGTGTTGATGGCACGTTTGGCGGTTTCACTTCAATGGGTTCTTCCAGCGGCGAACTCGGCTCGCTGATCGGCGACGACTCCAGATCTTCGGTCCAGAATCTCGCTCCTGCCGCTTCCGCTACTTTAGCTTGCTCGGTAGACGGTGTTTCTGTTGCTTCAGCTTGCGCAGCCGCTTCCGCTTGTTTCACGACCGCTTCCGTTGTCTCGACTTTTGCAGCTTGCTCCGCGGACTTTTCTTCCTTGGCTTCCGTCTTTGTAATTTGCTCCGCCGGCTTCGCCTCCACTGTTTCGGTTCTCACAATCTGTTCTGATGGCTTCGCTTCTGTTCTCGCAACCTGTTCCGCTGATTCTTTTCCAGACGATGTTCCTAAGGGCACCACACTGCTACTGATAAATGTCTTTCCTTCAGTAGCAGGCGGTACTTCTGATGGCACGTTTTTGGTAACTAAGTCACTCGCTGATTCCTTGGCCGGCTGAGGAGGAGCATCAGTCTTTTCCGGTAGACCGGGAACTGGACCCGCGTCTCTCGTGACATCGCCGCGTCTCTCAACTTCGCAAGCTGATCCGTTCAACTGAACGGACTCAAGCGAGGTCGGCGTAGAAGCGATATCCGTGGACTCGTGCACGGCTGTGACCGTCGTAGCAATTGCCTGATCGCTCACGGCCACAGCTGCACCCAACACGGATTCCTTGGGCTCAGCCTGGAGAACTGATTCCGCCACCTGAATAGGCACGGGACTCACAGTGGAGATCTCGGAAGCCGCCAACAGCATCTCCGCGTGCCGTTCGCCCGGGTCTATCGTGAGAGGCTGTGTTACGTCGGGCACGGATTCGATTACACGTTTCGCAATGTCTTCTACTGGCGTTGCAAGAGAAGTTATAGCAATGTCCTGCAGACTGATTACGCTAATCGGAGCTGCAGATTGCGTTGCGTCTTGAGCAGCGGAAGCTGAAGTCTTCGGAGTCTCCGTAACCGGCGTAGCTGCTTCTTGCGCAGGCAATTTGCAAACCAAGAGGGATGCTTGCAAATCAGCTTGTTGCGGTTCTTTCGCTTCGAAAAGACTTTCGCTTTGAGGCGCCGCTTTCTGCGTTGTCTGCGGACTTGCGAGCTCGCATTGTTCCGCAGTTGTTCTCGCGGGCAGAGATTCCGCCAGCGGTTGCGGCGGAGGCACTGAAGTACTGATCTCGCATGATTTTACATCCTTTGGTTCCGTTGTCGGTTTCGCACAAGCGTCTCCCGATTGTACCAGCTCGCTAGATACTTTCGTTGCGGGTGCTTCCTGCTCGGGGATTTGCGTCGCCGAAAGTTTCTCCTCTTTAGAAACTTCGCATATCAGAGATTGCGTTGGATCTTTCGCTTCAACTAATGAAGAAAAAACGGAAATGACAGATATAAACGCGATCAAACAAATACATACGTACAGAAAGAACTATTCTAGAAAATTGAGCGGAGAAATCGTGCAAAAATTCTATACGGTGAATAAAGACCGTTTTCTTAAATTAATTTAAATAGAAGTAAAATTATCGATTAATATTGAAAAGATCGCATATTTACATCTCGTAATTTTAAGCAGAATAGGCGATGATTGATGATCACGATGAGAAAATCCGATTTCGTTCCAACATATCAAAATGTGCCACGAGTTTGAACAATACAATGTATGCGAGTAAACCGTAAATACGGTCATAAATAATAATATACATTTGCTAAGCACTTTGGAAGACCAAATGTATATAATTCCGCATGTGAACTATAAATAACGCTCATGTGCTCGTTGTTAACATAAAGCATATAAAGCATAATGGACATAGCACAATATTTCGCACATGTAATGCATGACAACTTGTTTGAAGAATGAAGGAAAGCCGATCATGTCGCAGCGGGTTAAAGAAGCAATATTTAATGCAAAATGTTTAATTAGTAAATAACTATGATTTATAAAAGCGTGCTATTCATACAAAAGCATAACGTAACAATTTTCAAAGTATTCGTATTAGATTGTACCTCACACTTTTTGTTCGCATATACATATACATTTCATTTTATATATCGATTACGTACACAGCTTTAAAAATATGTTGAAAGTGTATACAGTTCACTGATTTAAAGATATAACATTTCTAAAGAATCTTTCTTAAACAAGCTAAAAACATTTTTAAAGTAAAAAAATTTCAATCTAAAGTAAAAAAGGCAATCTTATAGTAACAAAAAGGTAGCTAAAAAGGTTTAAAAAGTACCTAATCTAGCAATAAGATTAACAACACAATTGATTTTAGATGCATTGTATTGTTTTAAATAATTCTGAAGTAGAATAAAAAAGAAGTAATAATGTCAGAACGTGATGTTTTGTGTGAGTACATAAAATATTTACCCCATTAAAGCAAAACGATAATACAAGACGCAGCAATGCTATGGCGCCAGGATCTGTTAGTTGCTGTCCTCTGTTCCTGTTTCACAAACACTCAAACTAGATCAATTGCATTAACAAGAGTATACAAGTTTTGTACTTTTCGCTCGAAATATCGCAACAAATTCGCGTATCCATCTAAGCATATCGTTTTTCAATCGTTTCCTCGCTCGACGTCTTCAATTCGAAATTATAAAACTATCACATGCTGTATTAAGTGGAACGAAAAAAACAAACAAAAACGCAAAGCATACTCGAGGAAACAGTTAATGGCTTTGCATCGTGAGCACATAAAATTATTTCAAAAGTATATCTCGCATCTCCTTAATTATTTTGACGATTGGCGAACAGTGCCCGTTGAGTCGAATATCGTGTTGTTATTTCAGTTTCTGCGTGCATGAAATATTCTAATTTATGACATATGGTTACCTGTAATTCAGATTCATAAAAAAATGCGCTTCAAATATTTTATTACAATTTTCTTTACGATAACGCGATTTCATGTATGAGAGAGCGACGTACCGGCTGGTTTATCCACTTTGACATCTGCAGGTGCGTCAGCAGTCTTTTCTACAGCAGTCTCTTTTGCAGCAGCCTCTATTACAGTAGTCTCCAAAGCAGCGGTATCCTACGAATATTCATCGCGGTATGAATTATTCATTATCAGAATAGTTTTCACCGTTGCTTATGCAACTTTTTTTAGATCTAGCTGTTTAAAGATGAAAATAACTGTCTCTGATGATATTTTAATTATGACTTTAGCACGGTAATTTCTAAGCTTGCTCATTACATCATGAATATGTTATTCGACATTAAATTACCTCTTTAGGCGGAGTTGGTTGCCGTTGCGGCGCGATGGAGAGCGTCGAGCAGATCTTCTTCCATATGTTGTCAAAGCTGTCGCGACCCATGTAGTCGATCTGTCCTTGTTCCCAGCTCTGCTTCCTCATGTGCTCCTCCAGGGCTACTTGCTCGGCGCTCCTCGCTTCGCCCAACGTTATTTGAGCCAGAGCACCAGCGATACCCGCCTGTGTGCAATTAAGAAGAATATTTCTTCATTTCAAACCGCTCGCAACGTCAAAGAATCAATTAATGACAAGTATACGATAAACACACACGTTTCAAGCAATTTTATCTCTTCTGCATTCCTCAAGACAAATCACGTATACGTACAATACGAAGCTGATGCTACTTACATGGAGACACTTTAAAATAGGATGCACGTGTTACGAATATAATGTGGAAGTAATACGGGTTAGTACACACAAAGATGAATTGATAAACCGTTACGTTTCCCAGAAAATAAACGGAATTATTTATATTTACAATCGGCCCACTACACAAAATGAAAAATTTTACGTAATAAATAAGTGGCAAACAAACTGATTTGAAATTATGTATCGAACAAATATTCCCAATAAAAGTGCAAGTAATGTCCCAAGCATTGTCGAAATAAGTGAATACACCGATGACATAAAAAGTTGCTTTTACAGCAGTATAATTATAATTATCATAAAGCGTTCATAATCTTTCTTTTTTAGCGAAATAAAGCGGATTTTCAGAAACATGTACAAAAGCGTACAGTGATAATATATTCGACTCAAATTTAGAAAAAAAAGGATATGGGAACAATTACTTACATTTGCATTGTCTAGATGTTCCGTTACATTCGGGTCAGATCGCGTGGCTACATTGTGGAGATCTGTACAAGGTGCGGGAGGGAGAGGAAGGAAATCGATTCTCCGCGTGTCCGCTTTATTATTCGCAGCTTCTAACGCCTGCTCGCTATTCTTTTCGTGCTGCGCATGAGACTCATTATGAGAAACAATTTGATTCAGATAATGTACACTTTGATGACTAGCTTGATTATTACCACTGGCGTGGTGCTGCGCGTGACTCTCGTGCCTCACGTCGGCAGGCTGCAATTCTTGAACTGATTGATGCTGATGATGATCATCCGCTTTATTTCTGTGACAATCATGTTGATGAAACTGCTGGTGCTGCTCGCTGTATCGTCTTTGCTCGTTGTAATGTTGCTGCTCGTGATGCTGATGTTGCACATGATGATGTCTCTGTTCAGTCCATTGTTCATTATGCTGGTGCTGTTCAACGTGATGTTCGCTGTGTTGCTGCCAATTATGAGGTTCAGTGTGCTGTACAGAATGCTCTTGATTGCGATTCTCTCCGGAGTAAGAAGTTGCATGTTCTCGATGTTGATCATACGTTTGAATGGGCGTGTAGAAAGAGTGCTGTTGCTCGCAGTAAAATTGTTGATTATGTTGAGTTGCATTGTGGTCACTTTGACGAACAACATTCGCTTCTTCCTCGTATTTAACTCCGCAGTAACAGTTTCCGCCCTTGTCACTCGGTGCGCTATTGTCGGTCGAAGGCGGATCGTTTTGCGGGGAATATCCTTCCCAGGGATCTTTAAATTCGGAGAAATCCGGAATCCGAGAGTTGTACGTGTTGCCGTTTGTTGCGTCGGAGCAATCGGAGATCTTGGGATAAGGGGGTACATAGGACCGAGGAGCAAATGCGTGCCAAATTGGAGCCAATGTGCTGGTGGCCTATGCAAGCATCATGCCAAAACAGAAAAATGCACACTCGATCGGTTAGTATTGAACTAAGTGTTT